ACACACACACACACACACACACACACACACACACACACACACACACACACACACACACACACAGGGGCAACCCCGTGACAATATGCGTTTTGTAACGCTGTTACATAGCACAAAACGCATAATGAGTCTACTCCGGCGATTTATGAATTTGTGATACGATTTATAAAAAGAGGCCGACCTGGAGGAAGCGACTGACGGGCTTCCCCTCTGCATACCGTCTTTCCAGTGCTATGTTATTGTTATCCAGTAACTGCAAATCAGACTTTTAAGTAGTTAATTCACGTTTTTTTTTTCCTCACACCCGCTCAGCCTGCGACCACGCACTACAATTAGAAGCATATTCTTTCACAAGGCGATAGCGCTCAAAATATAAAGCTTTGCCAAAAATTTCTGTTAGAAGAATCGCTAAGCTGGTAATCCCTTCAGGAAACGAATGTTAGAATCGCCAGTAAAATGATTACTAGAAAATAGAGCATTGGAAAAAGCAGCTAGAAAAGACGGGAAACGAGACTGCGAATTACAGCTGCTCCAACTGTTTCAAGTAAATATTTTGGTACCAAAAGAATCTGCCGGGGAAAACTTATACCATCGCTGAGCACAGCTCACAAATATACACGTGACTAGCAGAGTAGCTAAAATTTCCCGCACAACTGGCACTTTTTCTCGCATTTTTTCTAGATCCTCTCTCACTCCGAAGAAAGAAAACATCCGAAGAGGCAGGAGAGGAAGCCGGATTCCTAAAGAAGACGGAATGCCCATGGGAATCCGACAATACCCACTGCATAAAACGTCCCCCCTCCTCCATATTCTCGCTCCCCCCAATCCGTTTTCTCAACTGCGCTGCCAATCATTCGCAAAATCGCAATGCTTGCTCCACTGATTTCAAATAATAAGACCCAATGCAAAGGTTTTTCACAGATCATGTTTCAATCAGCTGCGAACAGAAGGAGGGGAAGGCCTGAACACATCACAAATAAGCCAAAAATCGCAAAATTAAATCTGAAAGATACGAAGAATTCTATCGGATGAGCACCAAAACCCAGCCGATATGAGAGGAAAGCCAAAGGAGCTGTCCCCCTTACCGAGCTAGAAAAAAAGCAAACAAGTAATCGCATGGGTTCAAAAGCTAGCAAAAGAAGGACTCATCAGGTGTTTGTGTGCGAAAAGGGGCTAAGCAGCTGTCCCGTGACAGCTGTCTCTCGCCGTTACTGCTACCTGATAATTTTATGAGAAAAAAGGCTCAAATTTCATTGCCGACTGAGCGCGCCCTGGGCAGAACACGTTTCATGGAGTCGGTAGACCACGGACCATTGGTTTGCTGCATATAAATTAGCATATCTCTGCACAGTTCGATAAATGCATTAGCATAGTCTTCTGAAGCAAATATGTCAGTAGGGCGCTGGCAAACCAAAGATGTCACAAAGAAAAATCGAAAATAAGAAAATATTTATAATTTACAGATGCGAACAGTTTGTGCTATTGAGTAATATCAGAACATGAGAAAAAAAAAATACAAACTCCTGTCTGATGAATAAATGTATCATATCATAGCGCCTGCGTAAAAACAAACTTTGTTCTCTAATCTAGAATCACTTTCCAGTACATTTTTAGGCAAGTAACAGCAAGAAAATATCAGATTTGTTCTTAAGATTATTACACGAAAAATGTTCAGAGATTTTACACGCACGATAAAAGGCTTTTTTTTTAAGCTAAAAGCTAAAAAAAAGCTTTTCTTAGTCTAAAAAAATGGCTTTTTCCCTAAATAAAATGGCTAAAAATGGTCTTTTTAAGTTTGAAAAAGAATTCGATAAATCTTAACAAAAACTGAAAGCGACAACGGGACGATTATTGGCAGTTGCAAAAAAAAAAAAAGAATTGCTTTTTTACCCCGAAAGCAAGAACAATTAAACGAAAAATGCATCCCCAGAAATTAACACCACTGCATTACTGTGTTATACCTAGCAATTTGTATAGCTGTCAGGATCACACGGCACTTATCGTGAACGGTTTTGATTCCGTAACAATTCCGTGATCAGCTGGTTTCACGTTCTTATAAATCGGTGGCGATCGAAGTGGAAGCGGAGAAGGCTCCATGATATTCGGCTCGTTGAAATGATTCACACAGCTGAAATTGCCGAAATTTGAAGAATTATTACATAATTTTCAAAAATAAGCAAAATTTGCGTTCCCCTGTTTTGAAACAAATTTTCATGGAATGTATGAATAAGCAGGTATTAAGAACATCATGATTCAATGATGCAATTTGCGTTTTAACAATATAATAAAAATCTGAGTATATACTTAAAATTTAAATGATCAAAGTAATTTTTATTTTTTGGGACTTCGAAATACAACGTTGCTCTTATACAGTAAATAATAGAAATCCTAAGAAGATAATTTGTAAAAACGCAGAAATCAATCGCTTCTTCAGCTGGAAACAAACTTTTTTGTCTTCAATAAACTGAAAAGAAAAACTAACAAATAAGCATGCTTTCCGCCGGCTAATTCAAATTCAGCAAGTCGGGTAATGCCAAGATCAGCAAGTGTTGGATTCCCACTGAGCTCATCGCTGGTACACTCGACCACTCGGACCCATTCCAAACTGAGCGGCGACGGTGACCGGAAGAATTTATACGGCAACTCCACTGCTGCTACATAGGCTCTATAACGATTTTGCAAACAGTACATCATAATGCAGTAAAATGAAAGAAAGAAAACTGAAGACAACAAAAGAACAAGTTTATTTCACACTAAAACTAAATAACTGCAGGGAGATCGCTGTGTCTTGTGATAAAAAATAAATAAGTAGCAGCACGCGCCAGAATAGCCAGTGCGATGATGCATTCTGTGCAATTTCGCTCCCGAACGATTGCCCGTTTATGACTTTCACTGCTTTGTATTTTACTCTATGCAAAAATAGTTCACAAGTTGGAAAATAGTTAAAAATTTCACGCACCTGCGCATGAAAGCTGAATTCGAAACCTTGAAGGGTGAATATCTTTCCGCGATTCCCGAATTAATAGTTAACCCGCCAAAATTTTCACGAGGACGTAGGCGATACTCATGAGCGCGGGAACGCTGAATTTGAATGGGCAAGGTGGGAAGTGGGTCATTACACTAAAATTTCAGCTTCCTAGACTCCGTGTTTCCCGACATAATAAAATTTACCCGTCAAAAACTTTTACGGGACCGTACGTGTTACCCGCGGGTACGGGAAAGCTAAATTTAAATTTGCCGCGTCACCCCCTGGCGGGGAACACTATACCAAAATTTCAGCCGCCTAGCCTTTGTGGTTCCCGAGTTGAAAGTGCGGGATAAAGTGTGGGACACACACACAAACAAATACGCAGACAAACCCGTGACAATATGCGTTTTGTACTGTTGTTATACAGCACAAAACGCATAAAAATAAATAAATAGCAGCACGCGCTAGAATAGCCGGTGGGATGATGCGTTTTGTGCAATTTCGCCCCCGAACGATTGTCCGTTAATGATTTTCACTGCATTGTACTTTAGTTTGTGCAAAACTAGATGACGCACTGAAAAATAGTTAAAAATTTCACAGACCGGCATGTCGAAGTTGAATTTGAAACCGCAAAGGGTGAATTATCCGTCAAAAATTTCAATCTCATAATATTCTGGCTTTCGAATGAATTTTGACAAAAAACTCTCACGTGATCGTACATGATAGCTCAGCAAACTTAGGAACTGAATCCGAGTTTGTTGAGCCCTTGCTTAAAGGCGAAAAACATTCTCCTGCAATTTTCAGTCTCCTAGCACTTCTGGCTCCTGAGACAATGATTTTTCTCACCAAAACTTCCATGGGAACGTTGAAAATTTGCGGAGTTGCACGTGGGCAGGGGATGCCACGCTAAAATTTCAGCTTCCTAGATTCCGCGGTTTCCAAAATTTTCACGGTGCCATAGGTGATACCCCAAAGCGCAGAAACGCTGAATTCGAATTTGCAGGATCGTTCGTGGGCAGGGGGTTATTACCTTAAAATTCTAACTTCCTAGACTCCGTGGTTTCCGAGAAAATAATTTACTCATCAAAATTAACACGAGATCGTAGGTAATAACCGAGAGAGCGGTAACGCTGAATTTGAGTTTGTAAAATCGTGCGCGGGCAAGAAACACGCCAACGAAATTTCAGCCTTCTAGCTTTCGTGGCTCCCGTGATAATAATTTTACCCGTCAAAACTTTTGCGGGGTCGTACATATTACCCGCGGGCAGGAGAAGGCTGAATTTAAATATGCGGGGACAGATGTGGCTGGGGAACATTGCCCTAAATTTCCAGCTTCCTGGCTTTTATGGTTCCCGAGTTGAAAGTTGCGGACAAACTGCTGCGAACACAAACACACACACACATACATACACAGACAACCCCTTAGCAATATCCATTTTGTACAGCTGTTACACAACATAAAACGCATAAAAAACAAACAAAACATTCAATTTTGAATAAAACCACGGCAAATAATGCTCATCAAAACATTTTTTGCTCTTTACTAATAAGTTAATAAAAAGCGTGCCGGCTCCTAGTACGAGGATGCGTTTTTTGCACAGTTCCCCTCGCAGGTTTTTTCGCCAGTGGCACGCTTTTCCCGACAGATGCTTCCAACTAAAAGAATTGGGCTGGCCACCACGATTGTCAGAAATTATTACAATGACTCCTAATTCATGCCTAAAAAATTCAGCGCTCTGGATGCTTCGGTTGCTGAGTTACGTCAAATTTTATGTGTTCTTGCACGAGTGGCAACGTGAATGCTTTTTTCGTCCGCAGTTGCTCAAATACGGCCCTGGGTAACGCTCAAAAAGTTTCAGCACTCCAGCCACTCAGGCTGCGGAGTTGCGTCAAATTTCACATGTGTGCACGTGAAACGTACATGAGGCGCAAAAGAGATGTGTAAGTCATTTTTGAAGGCCATCGTCGGTTATGCTCAGAAAATCCGTCCTCCCTGGCTAGTTTAATTCTGAAGTTACAAAAGCGTATGCGTGGAATTTTCACGTGTTCGTACGCGAGATAGAAGAGCTGACAAGTAATTTACTTTCACGGGCACAACAGTAGGCGACAAGAAAAGCTGCAAAATTGCAGCTCTTCGCAGCTTATTGGTCAGCTTAAATATGGAGTGGCATGATGCCAGTTTAAACTTTAATGTGTGCGTACGTGAGACTTTGAGGTGCGTGAAGGTTGAATTAGAAATCTTTGGATTAGACGCGACCAAGGAACATCTCTGTGAAGTCCCAGTCTCCTAGCATGGACCGCTCCCGAAAACGCTTTCCCGCCAAAAAACTTTCATGTGCCCCTACGTGAAAACCACACGGATCTGAGTGCCCATTTTGAGGGTACGAGCCCGCATGTATGTGTTGATTAAGTCATCAAGTTTTCAGCCTTGTAGCTTTTGTGGGCCTCGAGATGAAAACTCGCTACATACGCACACACAGACACACATACAACCCCTCGACAATACGCGTTTTTGCATTGCATAGCTGCAAAAAACGCATAAAAAGAGCAGTTGCAACAGCTATAAATCACCGCCCAGTCCTTTAAATACACCGCTAAAAACTTTTCCAGTTGCTATGACCAATGTTGAGAACCAAGCAAGCTCGGGAACTGAATTTAATAAGTTATGCTTGGAACATTCCCTGAAAATTTCAGCCTCCCAACCCTCCTAGCTCCCGCATTAGCCATTTTCCCTCCAAAAACTTTCATGGGGACGTACCTGAGTACCACTCACACTTAGGGGCTGAATTTGATGATTATAAATTGAACTTGTGCTAGGAACATTCTCTGAAAATTTCAGCTTCCCAGCTTTCCTGATTTCCGAGTTAGCCACTTTCACGTCAAAAATTTTCATTGGGCCATACGTGAGTACCACACAAACTGAGGGGCTGAGTTCGACAGTTTTAAGTTACAGTTGTGCTGGGAACATCCTCTAAAAATTTCAGCCCTCCAGCTTTCCTAGTTTCTGAGTTAGCGATTTTCGCTCCAGAAATCCTCACTGCGCCATACGCGGGAACCACGCACAACTGGAGGCTGAATTTAAAATCTTTGAGTTGCTTGTGGACAGGGGACATAACCTCAAAATTTCAGCTTTCTAGCTTTCCTGCTTCCTGAATTAGCGATTTTCCCGCCAAAATTTTCACTCCACGTGCGCGGGGCCTAGACTTGCATGAGGGTTGGTACCGCTGTCATGGTGTGCAGTTGGTCGGGGAGCCCAACGACAAATTTTTGGTGCCGGAGCTTGCTTGGGAAATATCCGCACACACATACAACACACACACGCCGCGGGCCGTCACAACATGCGTTTTTGCTTTTACATATAAGCCAAAATGCATAAAAAAGCTCCTATCCCAATCTGTCGCTGAGTGCAACTTTATTCTCACTGAACCCTAATGCTTCCAATCAACCCTTTTAGGTGAAATTTTCCCAAGCTGGGTGAGAAGTATCATCAGTGACCTTCTGGCATTAGTAACAATAATTTCAAGGAAAGTATTTCATAACAAATTAGACAGTGCACGTCCGAGTTGGGGAAGGGGTTTTTATTGCTAACGACACTGTTTTTCCTGGCAAATGCTTCTCTCTAAAAGAAAAGAAACTGGCCACCATGCACGTCAGAAATTATTACAATGACTCCAATCCCTGCCCAAAAAATCCAATACTTTAAATGCTCTGTTTGCAGAGTTACGTCAAACCTCACGTATCTGTACGCGAGAAAAAAAGTGAATGCAGCCTTCGCTTGCGCATGCCCACACACAGCCTGGGCCAGGATCAGAAGAATCCAGCGCCCTAACTGTTTTAGTTGCGAATTTACGTCAAGTTTACGTGAGCGCACGTGAGACATGGAAGTCGTTTTCACGCCTATCTCGTCAAACGCCGAGATTATCCTCAGAACGTTCCAGTCCTCCAGCTGATTGAGTTCTGAAGTTACAAAACTGCCAGCGCGAGATTTTACGTATCCGTACGGCTGTAAAGCTCAATTTACTTCCAAAGGCACATCGGTGTACGACAAATAACGCTGCAAAATTGTAACTCCCTAAAACTTCTTGGTTAACCTAAAGCTGGAGTTGGCATGGTGCTAATTTAAACTTTGACGTGTTCGTACGCCAGTCTTAAGGATGCGTGAAGGCTGAGTTTAAAACCTTTGGATTAGAAACGGTCAAGGAAACCTCTGTGAAGTTCCAACTTTTCAAACTGCGTAGTTCCCAAAATCGCCTTTCCGTCAAAAAAAATTTTGACGTATCCATGCGTGAGAATCAGGTGGACGTGACCACCCATTTTGAAGATGACTGTCCATACGTATGTGTAGATGAAGTTGCCAAAGTTTCATCCCTTTCGTAGGTTCCTAGATGAAAGCTCGGTGCTGACGCACACCCAGAACAAACATACATACATACATACATACATACATACATACATACATACATACATACATACATACATATACATACATACATACATACATACATACATACATACATACATACATACATACATACATACATACATACACAAACAGATAACTCCTTGAGAAAATGCGTTTTTGCACTGTATATTTGCGAAGAAGGCATAGAAACCGAACGAAAAAAAAAGCATAATTTCAAAAATTAATAGTCACTTATTTCCAAGATGGTACCTAAAAAAGCTATACGTCTCATTGAAAAACTTCGATTACGCGGTCCACCTCAAA